CTTACCACTCTCTGGAATGGTGGCTCTATTGGCATTGCCATTGGCGGGGTGCATTTCAGCAAGGCAGCGCAGACGACTTGCTCACTTAAACAAATTGTCAGCAAGTTGTTTTGTTTTCATTTTGGACGTTATTTTTTTTTCTGTTTGTTATTGGGTCACAATAATTGATGCGTTGCAATCTTTGAGCGGGATTGCAAAAGGCCAGGTTTGGCCGTTCGGTCGTGGACTCGAATTCAGATTCTTGATTTTATACCGCGAGTACGTCCGTTCACTTCGAACACAAAGAAGTGTCTTGTGTTATGTTTTTGGAAATTTTTCGACTGGCAATGTCGAAAATTTTAAAGGTCTTGTCAAAGGACTGAACAGGATCATCAGCAGACATATTAGAGGATAAAGCTGATTCGCAAAAGCTTGAAATCGAGATGCCAGAATGTTGAGTTGTCAGCGGAAATGTTTTGTATGCCAGTGATAAAGTTGAGCTGATAACAGAATTCAGCAATGCGCGATAGGGTATGTACGATTATCTTAAGCGGCTCTTGTATACGAAAGCAGCACTGAGCAATACGTAGTCTTGAAAGTAAGGGCTTCAGGAGCGAGATGGAAGGAAGTGGTAATGAGAACTCTTGAGATTTGGGGCGTAGTAGACCGGATATGGGAGGGATTATTCCGGGACAAACCGCGAAATTTCTCAAATGCTGCCTTCAGGAATCCATTCGTACCATCATATAGAAGATTTCTATATTGTCAGCCCTTTAATAGTGTCTCATAGCTGAGACGATTCGCTTAATCACACTGATGCCCTTGACAAACAGCAGAAGTCGAACGGAAGCAAACGCAGAACCGATCACAGTTAGTTTCGAGCACGTATGTATATGTATGTTTGCATTCGTGTGTGTGTGCACTTGCTGGATTTGAATGCGGGAATGGTTGTGTTTAGGCCTGATCTGCGTCCAACAGCTATGTTTTTATTGAGCCGACCTGCTTAATAATAATGCGAAATAAAATTATTACATCCATTTATAGTAATTATGGCAGAACAAAAAAAGGTTAAGCTCAGACCGAAACGAATGCGTGTGTGTGTTTAACTGACTGCAGCGAGCAAGACAGCGACATTTGATACGAAAAAAAAATTTGTTAACTCAGATAAGTAAAATAACTTAAAACAAGAGGTTCTATGCGGGAGCTCCCGACTAGAGGATACCCTGAACCCTCTTTTTTAAACATGAAATGCATATATATATTGTATTTTATAAGCAATATGTCAAATTTGGTGGCTCCAGCTTTTATTATTTACCAAAATTCCCCAATAAACAGGATATCGATATCGATTTTGATCGATGGAAACGGAGTAAGCTATCGATTATCGGAAACAAACTCGATCTGCGCAGGCACTGGGAGCACCTACATCTAAAATTTCAAGTCTCTAGCTCTTATAGTCTCTGAGATTCTTGCGTTCATACATATGAACGGACGGACATAGCTAGATCGACTCGGCTATTGATGCTGATCAAGAATATATACACTTTATGGGGTCGAAGAAGCTTCCTTCTGCCCGTTACACACATTTGGATTGTTGACAAATACAATATACCCTTATACCCATTTTTAATGGGTTCAGGGTATAAAAATAGCGATGCTGATCTGTCGCACAAAGCATATGGGTATAAAAGATAAAAGACACCGATGCCGTTCTACCACACATATTTTACGTATTTCTTACTCTCTTGATCGCTGAGCAAGTACGCGTGTCGATTTTGGACCAGATTTCAGCAATTTTGAATGCCATTGTACTCATTGTATTCATCTATATAAAATTTGGTAAGTGATACAATACCAATTAGCACTGTTGCTTATTTTAAAATTGACAGACGTTTTTTTTTGCGTCTAACCCTTTTGACTATATATATGTATATATATTACTATTAAATATATATTACTATTAAATCTCACCCATTTGGGTTCTGTATGACTGTATACATATACATACATATGCAACACATAGAGTAATAAAGTGTTTTTACTAGCGAAAGAACCCCATTGTTTATGTTTGCATATTTTGATTATTTACTTTCCCTAAAATTAAAAAATTATAAGATTCATATAAGGACTTTGCGGTGGAGTGTACCTTTGCACAGATGTACAACAGCCTCACCCTTCAAAAATTGGCTTATTGCTCTCATAAAATCCAAATATCCGTGCACTGTTGACGAGATGTGTCTGTCAAATGCTGAGAGATTGTCTAGCATCCATAGTATTTTCAATGAAGGTCAAATCTCCTATACCCTTGCTCGAAATACACCCCCACACCATCACTGACAGTTATTCGAATTTAACTGTTGGAGTAATTTTGCTGTTATCCAACGCTGTTGCTGTCGCTTTTTCGAGACTCTGGGTGACCCATCATTTTTTTTGTCACAGAATATGACGTTATTCCAAAAAACCTTCGACCTATTTACATGGGCTTGAGCGCATGATAACAGCTTAATCAAGTAAGAGGTTCTAGTCGGGAGCTCCCGACTAGGGAATACCCTGAACCCTCTTATTCCAACACCAAATAAATTAATAAAAAAAAGTTCCCTTGGCAGGGCTCGAATTTGCAACTGACCGCATTACTTACTGTCGACTCTACTTAACAGCCACACCAGCAAAAAAAAAAATAATAATACTTTCCCCGTTAGAGCTCGAATTCGCGACAGACCGCACCACATGCTATGCCTCTACTCAGCAGCCACACCAACAATTAAGTACTTATGATAAAAAAAGGAACTAAATAACAATACAAAAAAAAGATGCAATTACCATGCTATTAGAATGCGAAGCAGACGCGCATGAATGTGTGTGTGTACATGTATACAGAAATTCTAAAAGCTGCTGCCCCATTCAATTGCGCAGTTGCATATAACTTTGGTTTTTCTTAACCGATCTTTATAAAATTCTACAGTATATCTTATTGTACCATAGAATATTTGTGTATTCTGAAAAAATCAATTGCATTTAAATTGTGGTTTAAATTGGTTGGCAATAAAAGTTGGGTTATTAACTTGATTTATAGCTCTAGGGTGGTAGCGGGGAGGTGGCGATAGGTATGAAATGAAAGATACTTGAAATATCTATAATATTCTAGAAGCAACATATCATGTTTGGTGGCTCTAGCTCTTATTATTTACCCAATTTGCTAAAAAATAAACAGGATGTCGATATCGATTTTTATCGATTGCTTGGAAACGGAGTAAGTTATCGATTATCGGAAACAAACTCGATCTGCGCGGGAACTAGGAGCATCTACATCTAAGATTTCAGCTCTTATAGGTTCTGAGATCCTTGAGCTCATACATACGGGCTGACGGACGGACGGACAGACAGACGGACATGGCTAGATCGACTCGGCTATTGATGCTGATCAAGAATATATATACTTTATGGGGTCGGAGATGCTTCCTTCTGCCTGTTACATACATTTGGATTTTGCACGAATACAATATACCCTTATACCCATTTTTAATGTGTTCAGGGTATTAAAATGTGTGATGTATAGTCATTCGAATTCATCAATTTTCGGATAATTTATATGATACATCAACACCACTTTCTTCCTTAAATTCCTAAGCAATATCTCTAAGCGAAACTAGTTGATTTTTCTAAATTTTTTCTTGATATTTTTTATTATCTCGGTGACAAATTTTGTAGAGACGAACACTTACTGGAGTTGCCTCTTGCTTATCTTTCTTATTGGCTCTTTAATATGTTCGTAATCTTTGGCTTTTGAAAATTAAACATATCAGCCAGCTCAAAACTTGACGTCCCATCAGCTGGTTCTAATTAATCAGCTATGCGACTTTAAACGTTGTTATTTTTCATGGCATTTTATTTTTTAAAAAATTAGAAGCAAACGTTACAAACTGCAATAGAAAACGACAAGAATATTCGAAAGCAGGAGAGAAGCCAAAACACGTAAGCTTAAGTTTGACGGGAATTCCCAACAAAAAACGGCAAACCCGTTCACCGTAGTTATAAAAACACTTTATTGGCAGCATAAACTTTGAATGTTTCATTTTTTTCAAATTTTAAAAAACTGTTTGGATGTTATTTAAAAAATTGTAATGCTGTTAAGTCCTAGGTTGATACAAACTATTGACATACTGCAAGTTCGTATAGTACACACATACTAAAGTATATGCAGTTGCAATCCGAACCAGATCAAACAAACAGAAAAAGAGAAAAACTTCTCGCTAGAAATGTTTGTATGTTTATTTCCATAAATCCATTTGTGTATACATAAATATTATTTACTCACATACTTTTTGATCATTCTACTGCACCTTATACATACATAGACACATTTATGTGTATGTCACGGACAAAAGTATTGGCAAACTAATATCATCTAGTTTTATTGTCGATTTTGTCCAATATACCGTCCAATATTTAATCTCTATATATAAAACTGTTGGTCCTGACTGACTGATTGGTGATCAACGCACAGCCCAAGCCGTAGGAGCTAGGAAGCTGAAATTTGCATTGGCCTCAAACTCATGTATTCCTCCTTGGTGGAAATAGGGGTCAAAGATTTGGTGGCTGACGTTTCGCGCTCAAAGTCATTTTCAAATTTCTATATGAAAAATGATATGAGACGTGTTTCGCATTTTTCGCAAAATCTAAACTCCTTCGGTGGAAATGCGATTCAAAGATATTATGGGCGAAGTTTTAAGTGGTGTCCGATTTGCATCAAACATATTTTTAAAGCTCTACATAACAACATAATGAATACGTGTTTCAGCAATTTGGAAAATTCCACCAACAACAGTGGTTAATTAGCGAAAAACGATGGTATGAAACTTTTTTCTTAACCATCGGTTAAGCCTTAAACTTATTTTCAAAGATCATATCATATTTTTAATAATTATTTAATTCCAAGTACCCGTAATTTTATAGGGACAAGAGTATTGGCAATTTTTAACATAACGTTTTTATTTTAATATTATTTTTGATATGGTCACACTTTTCTATGCCAAAATGCAAATCTGTAAGAACCCTAATGTAATGTATTAAAAGAAATTGTATATATTTTTTTTTTCTACACAATAAGCCGGTAAGTGTGAAACCAAAGTAGAGCAGCGAAAAATTATAATAATTTTACGCAAACACGGCAGATCCTATTAAGAACTTGTCGAGCTATAGGACAGAAGAAAATTAACTATTTGGAGCATAATCCGTAGATTTTCGGACCTTAAGGTAGAAATTGCTCAACGTCCCGCCCGCCCACGAAAGGCAATGGGTCATCATTGCGCCAAAATAATACGTAAGATCAAGAAAAGCCCAAAGATCTTATCATCCCAAATAGTACCAGAGGTTAAAGAAGAGACTGTTAAAGGAATTCGCTCCAGAACCCTACAAAGGGTACTACACAATGCTGGGTACAATGCGAGAATTGCAAAACGCAAACCACTCATTTCGAGTATTAACTAATCGAAGAGATTGACATCTGCCAAAAAGTTTAACTAACTGCAACGATGTCCTATTATCCGATGCAAGCCATATATTTTTCGCTCAAAAGACCGAATTAAAGTATGAAGAAAACCCAATACGACGCACAATAAAATGAGATAATATTAAATTGCCAATACTTTTGTCCTTGACTGTATAAGCGGCAACCACACACATCCAAAAGAAATACATACCGCAATAAATTATCCCGTGCATTGTTTTCTACCTTCTACAAAATTCAAAAGCATACCCAAAAAAACATTTCAAAACTACGCAAAGTAGCTCCCGCGTACTATCTGTTGGTTCCCACACAAACAGCCAAGAATAACTTACAAAAAAACATCTGCAAAATTATTGCATTCCTTGCAATTCGAAATGGTCGCATTATTGTTTAAAGTTTTATAATAAAACACTAAACGACATTATACTAACATAAAATAGGGAATGAACTAGACGTATCCGATTGTGAGGTCCTGTAGCAAGATACTCGTTACCCTTAGGTAATTGAAAATTATTTTGAACTCATAAAGAAGTCATGTTTTCAAGTCACGTCCACATCCACATCTACACTTAATGACAGCTACAAAATTCTTGTGTGTTTTATTATCCATTATTTATTATTATATATAAATATGTGCGTGCAATATTATTAATTAATCTCAATTGATTTATTATAGTAAACAAATATTTTTTTGTCTCTTCTGTTTTTCCTTGGGTTTAAAAATAAAATATATGAAAAGCACCCCATCCAAATTGGACCGATTCCATCGTTTCAGTTAATCAGTTAATCTCATTTGATTGATTAACACCAAAATTGTTTTGTTAAGTTGTTTTGCCTTGTTTGTTTTTTTTTTTTTTATAGCATCTGTCCACTGGTTTAAGAAATGTCACATTTTCCAATTTAATATTAGCGTTCCGCCAGCTGATCGAGTTTATTTAATTTGCATAAGCGCCGAAAAGTTTTTCTTCCAAAACTCAAAAATTGCGCTCGCAAAGTAAGGGCTCTATTTTAGCTACTCTATTCGACATTTCGCCATATTTAGATTAAAAAACTGTGGATCACTCTAATTTTAAATTTATTATTTAAAGTTGCATGCCTTCGTAGATACAGTATGTCAATAAAGTGTTTTGACTAACGAAAAAAAACTAATTTTTTGGGTTTAGTTGAAAATAAATGTACCTAAAAGTGAGAATTTTTTTTCAATTCTAATTTATTTCGATTCTATATTTTTCCTAGAACTTAATGGCAAAAAGAATTGTTAAATAACATTACCCAAACATTTTATAAAATTAAAAAACTAAAAACATTCAAATTTTATGCTGTCAATAAAGTGTTTTTACACGAAACTTTATTACTAAATAACAATGTTAAAAAAACAGGAATATTTTTTTTTAATACTTTGTGTGGCTGCCATTAGCGTCACATACAGCCTGCAATCGCCGTTTCATTGAAACAATAAGGTTTTGTATGTATGTTTCTGGAATCTTCTGCCATTCTTCCAGTACAGCAGCTTTTAAATCAGTTTTTGATTTTGGACTCCGCTTTGCGACTTTTTTTTTCAAATATGACCACACATTTTCTATTGGATTCATATCTGGACTTTGTGGTGGAGTGTCTAACACCTTTCCACAGTTGTACAACAGCCAAACTCTTACCATATGAGCTTTATGCTTCGGGTCATTGTCCTGGTAAAATTTAAAAATTGGCTTATTGTCCTCATAGAATCCAAATTTCTGTGCACTACTGACGAGATGTGTCTGTAAAATGCTCAGATATTGTCTAGCATCCATGGTATTCTCAATGAAGGTCAAATCTCCTACACCCTTGCTCGAAATACACCCCCACACCATCACTGATAGTTTTCCGAATTTAACGGTTGGAATAATATTGCGGTTTTCCAACGCTGTTAGTGGCTTTCTCCAGACTCTGGATGGCCCATCGTTGTAGAATAGCATCATCTTGCTTTCGTCACAGAATATGACGTTACTCCAAAAATCGTTCGAACTATTTACATGGACTTGAGCGAACGATAGCCGCTTCAAAATATTCGCCGCCGATAGTAGAGGTTTTTTCCTGGCAACTCGTGATGTGTAGTCATTGGAATTCAGTAATTTTCGGACAGTTTCATGTGACACATCAACACCACTTTCTTCCTTGAACTCCTGAGCAATATCCCTAAGCGAAATTTGTGGATTTTTCTCAATTTTTCTCAGAATTTTTCGCTTATCTCTGTCAGAAATTTTGCAGGGTCGACCACATACTGGCTTTGCCTCTAGCCTATCTTCCTTATTGGCTCTGTTTAATATGTTGTATATCGTTGCTTTTGATAAATTAAACATATCAGCCAGTTCCGAGACTTGACGTCCCATCTGATGGTTATAATACACCAGCTGAGCGACTTCAAAAGTTGTTCTTTTTCCTGGCATTTTATTTTTCATAAAATTAAAGCAAAACGTTATAAATTGCAATAGAAAATGACAAGAAAAGTCGAAGACACAAGAGAAGCCAAAACGCATGGGCCCAAATCTAACGGGATCACCCAAAAGAGAACGGCAAAACAATTTACCGTAGCTGTAAAAACACTTTATTGACAGCATAAAATGTGAATGTTTTTAGTTTTTTAATTTTATAAAATGTTTGGGTAATGTTATTTAACAATTCTTTTTGCCATTAAGTTCTAGGAGAAATATAGAATCGAAATAAATTATAATTGAAAAAAAATTCTCACTTTTAGGTACATTTATTTTCAACTAAACCCAAAAAATTAGTTTTTTTTTGTTAGTAAAAACACTTTATTGACATACTGTATATTAGCTGTTTATATTTACGATACTTTACCATTTTTCACAACATCGATAGATATCTTGATTAATCATCTCTAAAAACACGAAAAGTTCGGGGCGGACTTACACATTTTTCAAAAATGTTCCTTTATTTTAAAGATGTGTGAATGTGTTTTCTTATGGGGAAATGCACAGGGCGTTTGCATTTGTCAAAAATGTGACATTTTCTGAAATGTGTTCAGTGTGTGAGAAATGTAAATAAAAAAAAAAAGAGTGCAATCGCGCTCATCGCGGCTCTGCGCCCAGCCCGCAACCAAGAGGCTGCAGTCTTCCTCCCTGAGACGTTTTCTCGGCACTCCATATAACCAATCCACAGTTACCCGAGGTCGAAGAACTATATCACATCTAATCAACGAAAGACAGGTAAGCGGGAACAATCGTGGGAATCGACAACAATTCTTTGAGAAACGTTACGTATTTAATCCATGCTTAGAGGATCGGTTGCAAAACAGGTTCATCCCAGGCGAGTTTTACCTAAACTTCTGTATATTAATTTCAAAACGATTATGATTGGTGCCAGCAAACCTAACGGATTTTTCTGGCTGAGGAATACCATTTTCTTCGATCTAAATTCAAATAATAGAACATTCGGACGTTGATCCCAAGCTACGCCAAGTGCTAGAGAGACAGTATTTTTATCCAAATTTAAATCCTTTACCGATTCGTCACTTTTGACGGCGGGAAGATTGGAATGCCACTCAACCAATGTAATTCTGCAATTTGCCGATGATTTTCCAATTGATGCGCGGTTGGTAAATATAGTTCACATGCAGATCTGATAGAGTATGGTGCCGAGACCGTTGTATATATTACTGTATTTAGCTCAAATGGCTGCAGATCGGCAGATGAGGGTATGCTCTCCCCTTGATATTTTCGATTCACCTGCCTGACTAAAACTTATCTATACATTTTAGTAATGTCGGCTTTGTTATCGTAACGAGCCAATCGAAAAAGAAGGTGAAGAATATACACAGATACTCTTCCAGCATTGGGCCAACAAGTAGCAAATCATTCAATAAAGATTGGGATGATGTAGTGCACGAGGCGTCAAACTCGTAAATGCGTTGTTATTCTGCTAGACTTACACAATGGTGAGTTATGTAAAAGTGTGGCTGGCTTAATCTCTGATACGCCACTAAAGTTATATGGCCGGGATCGTCAAATCTTTTCAAAGTCACTTATTGCGATTAAGCAGCTGGTTACCGACTAAAGCGTCTTGAGGGTTAAAAAACGACGACAAGGCACGTTGGATCTCTCTTGAAGGTAGAAGCCCAACAATCTTGCTGTTGTCCATGTTTATTGTCCTGGAAAATCTTATCTTCACAGAGCCCATGTACCGGATTGTTTGACTTTGGAGATTTTTTTATAGTATTAATGTTCCCCAGTAGTTGAAGGTTAATGTCAATTGGCTCCTCCTGATGACGTATTTGCCAGACACAACCCATCCAAACATCGTTTTCAAAGGAGTGGCGAATTATCGTCGAGCTTGATCTGTCCAATAGTCAGGCATTCTAAAAATTCCTCTGTACCGAGAAAGCTTCGTCCGCAAGTGGTCTGACGTCTCGATTTGATGACACTCATATTCAAAATAGAAGCTTGCCTCAACTCGAGGCCAATCTCCCCATTATCAGAGAACCCGGCTGACCTACTGACACTCAGTCCAGGCCATTTTCTAGCTGATGGTCCTCATATCGATTTCTGATCTTGCAAATAAAGTGGGTGTACCGTTCTGCTCTGTTGCCGTTGGAAAGAGGATAACCTCAAGAAGTTGCTCAATAAGAACAAATGACAGCATGTAATGAGAAACCTTCGAAACGGTGACATGGTTATCGTCAAGGACGCTAAACTTCCATCCAACGAATGGCGGTTCGGCCGAGTCCAAGCCACGCATCCATACAAGGATGACATTGTCCGAGGCTACAATTCCATAGATACGAACCTCCCAGCTAACGCAAGTGTTGTCCTTTGTGTCCATACAACCACATTTTAAAGCCTTTAGCTTCCTACTTCAGCGACATGGCTCCTCGCCCAAACAACAATACCCAACAGCCCTGTGGAGTGGGGTTGTATCGATGCAAGGCAGTGCCGACATCTCCGGACAGAACTCCGGCAACTGCCTGGCACGCGAGCATTCACGTTGCTTATTCCGCAGCAATAACCGCTGCTGGTCCTGTGGCAAAGTCAAGCACAGTTTGATCAGTATAAAATGAGAGGAGACTAAGCAAGGAGCACACCCAAGGCCGCAGACTGCCTACTGCACTGGGACTTATGGGAAACGTCACAAAACCGTTCGAGCCTATAGGCAGAAATCAATCATTTATTCATTTTTTCTCGGTACAAGTTATTTGAAACATTCGTTTTGGGTCCCCGGGACTTACTGTCCAGACTTTCTTGATTTTAATGAGCTTTGGCATGCACGCAAGTACTGCGGTGTTTTACGTTAGTATGGTGTCTATATTTGAATGAGGGCGGTTTTGCAACCTATAGTAGTCGGCTGCCTGGTTTCTTTCCTCAATGGCCTTCAGCCGCTCGAGGCAGCGCTAAAGTGCATGGCAGATCTTTAAGGTGTCCTGGGAGAACTCCGAACCTTTGAGACGTGTAAGGCTCAGAATGAATTAGCCTCGAACACATCAAAATATTACAAAAGGCTCAAATCACTTGACCATCTCTTGTCCCTGCTGGAGGATTCGTGGGGAGGTTTCATCTTCGTAGGTATTGTTTAACTAGCAATTATTGCAACAAAATTAATTGTCGTATAATGTTGCACAAACAATGCTCTTGCCGCCCCACTGATCTTATTTCTTATGAAGGTAACGGCTTGATTGTTTGAAACACTATCTAAGGTATAGCGATTAAATATGCATCTACGGGTGATAGCCTCCAACATACGCATTCGTCGTGGGAAACATCGAATTCCAGAGCTATCTTTATTATGTCCAATTTCATCTCACAATTAATGTTTCGATAGACAGCTATCCTTGGCTATCACATGATGTATCAGCGATAAGAAGGAAGGTTAAAAAAAGTGTTCTTAAGTAAAATTAATAATAATCTTAATTTACTATATTCTTTCAGAAAAAAAGGATAAAATAGGTTATTAATAGAATTAATATAAGTATATTAGATATATAGAGTCTTTAGTAGATAGGATAAGAAAGATAGTGATAGGAAATCACTGAACCAGTGGTTGAAATTTATAGCCTGTCCGGCAAGCTATGCCCTTTATCATAGCAGGGTATGGTCAGTGACTTCCCCAAGGTATCCTGTTTACATATAGTAATCTGTAGTATACGTAGGTTGGAATAAGTGGCGATAATTGCCGTTAGGTAGACGCCCTAAGAGAAAAGAAAGATCTATGTCGCTAATCAACTTATGTATGAGGACAATATCGAGAATTGGCAAACGTTGGTAAATACTAAAGATAAAAAATAGAAGGCAGCTGGAGTAGGATTGCAACCTAAGATTTGATATGAGCGTCTAGATCCCTAAATATTTCCTTTATGTTGCAATGGAGTATTTGCGATTTTATAACTGACAATATAAGGATTAGTACGATTGAAGATTATAAGCATACACTTTAAACAATTAAGATGCAAATATTTGGTCGAACACCAAAGTTGCATAACGTACAATCATCTTGTGAATGATGTAGAGGGTTACGGTATGAAGGCATAAGTTTCTCATCGCCCGCATACATAAGTACACGGGCGTTGGGGAACAACATAAGTATTGTGAACTTGACTTGAGGTAGTCAGCCTTAGCATTACTCTTTGCATCCTACCTTTTAAATAAAAAGAAATAAAACGCAAAAGAGATGAAGGGAAACGGAAAAGGTCAAGTTTAAGGAGTAAAAGATCATGGTGCACGGAGTTACAGAAGTCAGAAAATGCCATGAGCATGCACTTAAGAAAGGAAAGAATCATTTACCAAGGAAGTTATTTCAAGCAGATTGGTCGTAGAAACTGAAATAATAGGAGCAAGTATTGGACTAGAGGGAGTAATATAATATGGGGTAGAATCAATATTAGGAAGAACCGAAGAGTAAATTGATTGGAAAAGAAAGCAAGGAGGTTAGTAGAATTGGAATCATAGCTTGCTTTAACCATCCCGAAAGAAAAAAATGGCATATTTGAAGATTTACGCTTCAAGCTTACAACACTATAGAACTATCTCGCATTTTGGGCAAATTGCCTTTAGCACGGAGAATTCAGTAAAAAGAAGTTCGATTTCAATTTTGAATATTTAACCAAGCAAAACTCGCATCTGACATATTAAACTTTTAAAAATATAACGACTAAATATTGTTCAGGTTTGATAGTCTGGGAGTAGACTAGGATGGCTTGAAGAAGAAATTAAAGGAATTCAGTTGGGAATATAAACTAAGAGCGAATTCAGGCTGTTATAAAACAGATTAAAAGCAAAATTCATATCAACCGAGTCAACGTTAACTAAGCAAGTTAAATAATATTTTGCAAAATTGAAGGGAACATAGTTAATCAATATATTGAATGACAAAATAGTTTTCCATACAACTAAATTTTCAACCGATCGTTCCCATGGCAGCTATGTGATATAGTGGTCTGATGTTGATATTGATTTTGCACACATATGAGGAGCATAGTTAAACTAATAAATGCCAATTTTCACGATATGTGAAAAACAAAAAAATTTTCCACACAACTTATCTTTCGACCGATTGTTCCTATGGCAGCTATATGATATAGTGGCCCGATCCAGATGGTTCTGACATATGTACTGCGTGCAACGGCAAGGGGGAAATCTGCAAAATTTCATAAAGATAGCCTTAAAACTGAGAGACTAGTTCGCATAGAAACAGACAGATGGACAAACGGACATGGCTATATCGACTCGGCTGTTGATACTGATCAAGAATATATATACTTTATGGCATCGGAGATATCTCCTTCCATGCATTACACATTTCACGATGAAATTATAATACCCTCTGCAAGGGTATAAAAATATGAATTAGATTTTGTAGGATATTAACACGTCTATTTAGGACATGATTTCAGATGGCAGCTTGCTGCCAAAACCGGCCACAAAATGGGTGTAAATTAAAAAATATTTGCTGTGCGGCTTCTTACTTTGAGGAGTCAACAGTTTTTACATTAGAATCGCAAATTTGTTTGCATACAACATAAAAATTGTAATTCATATCATGAGTAACCCTTCTTTTCAAGCATACATATGTAACTTGATCACTCCATTATTTTGTTTCTTAAGCGCTGGCAACTGTGTGCACTTATTTTAGTGAACATATATCCAGTTTTTGGGGCGCTTTATGCCTTTTTGTTTGTTGTTACCCAGTGTATATTTATAATAAAATTTATTTATGAGCGCATCAACTCGAGCAACAACTCAAACAGGTAACTTACATTATAGGCATTTACATTTTTAATTGGTTTTAACCAAATTACTTATCAACCATAAACAAGATCGAACAATTATAAATATTGTGTTTTTAATTACCATCCATTTATTATTATAAACCAGTTAACGACTTAATATGCTAATGTGCCCTTCATATACACCTACATATGTATATTATTCATTTACGAAGCATACATTCATGTTTATGCATATGTACATATCTACATATGTATGCATAGATATGAAACACACATACTGTTTAACAAAAAAATACTACATACAAATATGTATGTATATACAAAGTTGATTCGAACCTGGAACCATTGAAAATGGGTAATAGGGAGTGTAATGAAGTTGTGCAAATGTATGGAACAGGCACAAGCGGACACTGCCATACCTTAAAATATTTTTATACGTGTTAAGGACGATGAGATGAATCGATCCATGAACGCGTCTGTCCGTATGAACGAGCCGAGGTCTCCACAAAAGCTAAATACGTTAGAATATAAATATGTACTCTTAAACAACACGCAAAACGTGATTAAAAATATTTGCCGTTATCTCGCCTTATATCGATAACATCGATAAGAATCGGTTTTTAGACATGGTTTTTTAAATATGGTTTGTATGGTTAGTGGTATATGTAACTCAAAAGTCCAATAAGCTAGATACACCAAATCTGGTTTTATCTCCATGAAGAGTTTTTACTACATGAAAAAATGAAAATATAATATAAAATGCAGCTTTTCCCTTAGGTGTTTGCAAACGTCTGAGTTCAAGATATTATGCCCTTAAAATATCATGAGCACCGATGATATTTAATTATTCCACTGGTGGGGAATTTATTTGCAAAAAGATATATATATATTTATGGAAGGCAGATAGAATTTTTGGACGCGGGGTTTAATCAATCTACAAGTACACCGAAGTTATTTGTTAAACGTTTCCTTAAAATCCAAGCCTACCAGAACCAAATTTTAATAATAGTATATTTATGAGCAACTCTGTCTTAACATTCAATTTTAGCTTGTGGGCAACGATCTGTTTTGACATTTGGGTTGAACTTTCTTTTGTAATATTGCTATAAATACTTATAACAAAAATTTCTCTCATAAACACTTAAGGGTCGGGACCTATGGAACTAGTTTAAGTTACAGCCTTATTTAAGGAAACTGTTATTTTTGCCTAGACCTAGCAAAAAGTGTGTAAACTTTTCGTTAAGTTAATTATGCATTTCTTTCTGCAGCGGGTAAGACCGACGATTCTATTGTGTTATAAGTGTTATAATATCACTGTACTGCGGGCTTAACCAATGTTCCCGATGCTGATTTTCATTTCTATTTCATTATTGAGTTTAAATATATTTATAATATTGATTAGAGGAGTAATCGTGACAGCATACAACTATTGTATTTCCGTAATAATCATCGAAATACTATTTGTTGTGCCAAAGTATTCACTAATAAGCTCAGTGATAATAAAAATGAACAAGTAACCAAATTGTTCAGATCGGGTAGAAAACATTAGACTACAAACTGTAAGGTATCCCTTACCTCTCTCCCGAAACACACAAAAATTTAAATTCTTCTCAATATTAGGAATACCGGTTACTTATGAGACTAAATGAAATAGAAATTCACAAAAGCTTAACCGATGCTAAAAATTAATACATGAAAAAAAAAATTCAGCACTTTTAAGTCGCCAATGATAATATTGATAAGCCTCTTTCAGTTTAGCGTTATGTACTCTGGACAAATGAGAGTAGTTTTTAGTGCCATTGATCGAAAAACCCGTTTCTATTTGCTTATATAACAAAATTCGTGAAGTCGCACGTTTTATGTTCTGAGGGTTTTTCTGATTTCATGATGTGGGTAATTACTTCCATTAAATTGTTCTAAAATCAACATCAATATTTAATGATATTTTAATTTCCTTTGGCGATAGACTTATTGGGCGAGCATTTGTTCTCCAACAATATAATGCTGCTTACCATAAGATGATAACATTCCTAACGGAATCTCTTCTCGCAAGTGTGATAAAATCATAGATAAATCACATAAAATGTTTCACTGAAAACGCAAAAACTATATCTTGAAATAAGTAACTAGTTGTTAACGCGACATTATAAGACGGAATTATCGAATACTTTAAAAATTCAAGTGGTCGATAAAGGCGTTTATTTTTATACAAATATTTTTGTCATACCTTTATGTCTATAACTGTTTGTGTAGCATTCGAATGTAGAAGTAAAAATCGTTATATATTTTAAGGCTTTTTAAGAAAACTTCATGCTAATTGAGGAGAAAGATTCAAAAAATGGAATTCAAATAAAAACAGCTTCCAGGATCCCCTATCCAAAAGATGATTTATTCTTAACAGCAACAAGTAACGTGCTATTTTCTCCACTTGAAAGAACAACAAACGACACGATGCTAAGCAAAGACATAGAGCCTGGTTTATAAATGTATGTTTATATGTTGTCTCGCTTTAAACTTCTGTTTTCGTACCCGACCTTCCTATTATAATAAAGTACACCTTAAATTAAGATCGTGCATATGCTTCGATTCTCAAATAATCGTACAATATGAATTTTAACGTTAACATGGACAATAAGATCGTTTGCTACAGGTTGGCAGCACTGCCAGCTGGTAAGCCCAAAAAGAGTGAATGGTTATTGGAAGATGAAAAACTCGCATATATTTAAAATCAGAATTCATGGAAAAATGTGAGTAGTTTCTTATTTTTTATAAATGTAAAAACCAATTTCGCTTTGCAGGGAAAAGCATCGAACGCCTTAAGTAATTTCTCAAATTTATTAAGGAGCTTCGCATCTCTTGTAACTACACAAGAAAAGGAAAGGAAAAGCGAACTTTGTCAAAAGACTGAGTAGACTTGATGCCAGAGCTGAATGCATTGGGCCCGTCATGTAAGGCTGACGAAGGGTAACGCCATGAAATTGTATCATTTAAAAGTAGTTTTACATTATTAATGCATTAATTTATAATTAATAGCTATGGTAGAATTGGAGACAATCAATAGAGAAGATTGCAGCACATAAAATGGTGAGAGGACCAGCTCTCATCGCCCTTGTCATCAATCTTTACAAGATCTTGATCATGCCTTCCAAGTGATTTTTTACTAGAATTTTGAATTTCAGATTAAGATAAAATTAAAAAAAAAAATAGATAGCTGATGTGCCCAGAACATCATTGGGCACAAACGACGCCTCTCTTTGGGAGAAGACAGTCTTCATAGATCTCAAGGATATGCGCGAAGTCTGTTCATATCGGCTGAGAAAACATCTTGCGCAAGCACCTCAGCTATTAAATGAATACCAAATATATTTTAATTAGAAATAAATTATATAAAAAAATAGCTTCACTCTTTAAGAAAATAAAAAATTTTGTACGATTTCATTGCCAATTAAAGTTTATTTGGAAAATGGGTGAGATTTCCAAAAAATTAAATGTTTTGGATCAGTGCGAACAATGAGAGAGTCAACATATGCATATATTTACTTTATTGATCGACTCAAGTATTGATGCTGACCAAGAATGTATATACATATGTACTTTATGGAGTCTCAGATACCTGTAACATACATTTGCACAAAGTCAATATACTCTTTGTTCACTCCAGTTAATTCACAGATATAAAAATGGCTCTTGGACTTCAATACTCATTTTACATATTGTATTATTTTCATCAACTTGTGCCTTAGAAGTTTGTATTATTGGAATTATTAATCAAATTATTTTGCACACGACTTACCTAGAAAATGCCAATTTCTATCTGCAAAAAGCCGAACCCAAAGAATTGTAAAAAATAAGACAATTCAATTACCTTTTACACTAGAGAGCTGCATGAATGGCAAAAAAAAAAAAACGAGAATGAACTGGCTATCTTCAGAACGCCGAAGATCTAATACCCTTGCAGACCCAACCTTTTCATAATGCTTATAGTGCTTTGCCCGTATCTAAGAAGCACAGGGAAAATAGTTAATGACGAGTTTGGTCAAGATATCTTGAAAAACAAAATGTTTTTTCATAGAAAAACTTAATTTTCGACCGATCGTTCCTATGGCAGCTATATGATATAGTGGTCCGATCCAGCTGGTTTCACATTTGTGCTGCGTGCAACAGAAAGAGGGACTTCTGCAAAGTTTCATTAAGAGAGCTTTAAAACTGAGAGACTAGTTCGCATAGAAACAGACAGACGGACATGGCTCTATCGACTCGGCTGTTGATGCTGATCAAGAATATATATACTTTATGGGGTCGGAGATGTCTCCACGACAAAATTATAATAACCTCTGCAAGGGTATAAAAACACGTTCAAATAAACAATGCCTGAAATGAGTTAAGTGAAATTGAATGCAACGCCGAATATGCTTGAGTCAGTGCGGTCACATACAACTCGGGCGCACAACATTGAAACAAAAGAAACCGAATTGAATGAGTGGGAATGCGTTGGAATAAGAGATTCCGTTTCGACCATTCTAATGACCAACCGCTTTTTTAATTGTTGTTGTCTTGTCGCGCATAAAGAAAAAGACGAAAATTAAGAAGAAGAAAGGATAAAGAGAAGACAAAAACAACTAAATTTCATTCATTTCTTTTGACTGCTTGCGTCCGTTGTACCGAACGTAATGAAGGCAGGCATTCGAGTAATTCGATTTTCTTCGGCTGTGCCAAATTTGTCATTCCGCTTTACGCTTTATTTATTCTCGCTCATTTCGCTGAATGCCATCTGCTATAAGACACAACACGCACTCACATTGGTACTCATTCGTTTCATTGTGACCCTCGCACTCACTCAATTCAATTAATTTCGAGTCCATTCAATTCAACGAATGTTGTGAGTGAAGCCATGCAGCTCTCTATTTAACACATCTTCTGCACATGCCAACTGATCAGATGCGTTTTTCTTCTAGAAGAAAATAACCAACTGTTATTTTCATGTTGTTGTTGTTTAATTAATGCACAAAGAAAATTTACAAGTACACGTATGTAGCATTGAGTTTGCGAAACTTGGCGGCAAGAACATTTTAAATAATGTTCATTTTCAATACTGAATCCTTAGTTAAAAAACACCTTATCCTCTTTTATTTGTTTATCAAAAAATATATAAAGTTATAGCCTTAAGCCTCTGTCCACTGGCCCATTTCTTACACAGTTTTAACATTTAAACATGGTGAAATGTCGAAAAGAGTATGTAAAATGAAACCTTTACTTCGAGATCGCATTATGTGACCTTTGTCGGCGGTTATGTAAATTAAAGCAACTTGATCAGCTGTTTATTTAAAGAAGTGGTATTTTTCCCACTCGATACTTCAAAATTTTTCAAAACATCGATAGAAAATTCTATGAATCATCGCAAAGTACACGATCTGTTCTGAACGAATATAAACATTTTTTGAAACCTACACACTTTTAGAAATGTGTTTTCATATGGCAAATCGTACACATTTTGTAAAAAATGTAGATGTTGGAATTAAGCTATTAAGAATGAAACCCAAAAGAAATTATATTTATATGCTGACAGTTTATATGTTCAGTTGAAGAGCTAACTTTATTGCAAACACAGCTCCAAAAAAAAAAAACGGCATTTTTAGAAAATAATAATTTCTGTCAAATCAAACACAATGCTTGCAATAAAAGGACGAACCTATGAGAAGTTTAAACACGATAGTTTATAAACTGAGAGACAAGATTGATTTGTGTTATTCATGGTATCTGAAATATTATGATCATGGGCAACAAATTGTTCACTTATTTTGATCACCAGCGGTGTGAAGACGGAATTCAAATACACCTATCTTTCCATTTACACGGTAGATTGGTTCTTGGAAAATCCGTGCAAAACAAAACCGTGTAAATCGAGACACAGAGTTCATACAAAGTAACCGGATATGTTTAATTAACCTGATAACCGTGTAAATCGATCTAACAAAGGCAAAGAAAAGTCGAAGATATGTTAATTATAATCGTGTAAAATGAGATTATTTGAGCTTTTTCTACTGCTTCTATTAATTCATCTCGATGGAAAAGAGTTTGTTATAGCCACATTTTCCAATTTGAAATATTGGTGTTCCACTGGTTGGCGGTAACAGTGGGGAAAGTACCGCTTTTAAAATAAACAGCTGATGTAGTTTCTTTAATTTACATAAGCGCCGTTAAGCTTTTCTTCCGAAACTTCAAAATTGCGCTCTCAAAGTAATGGCTCCATTTTAGGTACTCTTTCCGAGATTTCGCAGTGTTTAAGTTCTAAAAACTGTGGGATTATTTTAATACTAAATATCATCTTTAAAGTTGCCGTTTGCCTTCTTTTATATATTAGCTGTTTACGGTTATGATACTTTACCATTTTTCACAACACCGATAGAAATTTCGATTAATCATCGTAAAAAACACGAAATGTTCGGGGCGAATTTAGATGTATGAGATGTTTTTTCTTATTGGGAAACGCACAAGGCGCTTTTCACACATTTTGCAGAAATTTGACATTTTAAGAAATGTGTTCAGTGGACAGAGGCTATGACAAAATAAATTTGGCTATGGATATTTAAATAAAAGAGTTAAAAATTGTTATATAATGGAACCTTGATCTCCTGTTAGACGAACCCTCATTTTTATACCCTGAACCCATTAAATATGGGTATAAGGGTATATTGTATTTGTGCAAAATCCAAATGTATGTAACAGGCAGAAGGAGGCATCTCCGACCCCATAAAGTATATATATTCTTGATCAGCAGCAATAGCCGAGTCGATCTAGCCATGTCCGTCTGTCTGTCTGTCTGTCCGTCCGTAAGTATGAACGCAAGGATCTCAGAACCTATAAGAGCTAGAAAAATCCTAGTGCCTGCGCAGAGCGAGTTTGTTTCCGATCATCGATAACTTACTCCGTTTCCAACCAATCGATAAAAATCGATTATCGATATCCTGTTTTTTGGGCAATTTTGGTAAATAATAAGAGCTAGAGTCACCAAACTTGACATATAGCTTCTAAAATAGAATATATATATGCATTTGATATTGGAAAAAGAGGGTTCAGGGTATCCCCTAGTCGGAAGCTCCCGACGAGAACCTCTTACGTGTTTATATACTAATAATACTAGTCTCTAAAAGTGTAGCGAATATCATTAGAGTTTTATTTATTGAAATTATTCTTGAAAGGAATGTTTTTAGTAGAATGGTTACTGTGCTTGTAAGTATATTTATATGTTTTTGAGTTTATGTATTGATATCTACCGAAACACTTTAAAATTGTATGAGTTTATATTGTCATTTTTGGTCTTTTAAAGTAATAAAACTCTGTAGTCCCAGCGATTACCTTTAAAACGATGCTTAATATATTAATGCTTCATGTTGATAGTTTTCTCATTTGCTTAACAATTCCGCGTTAAGTAAGTCGAGTACTTTAAATATTCAAAGTCTTTGAAAATTTTCGTCTTTTTCTCGATAGCCGGAATGTAGTCCACATTCGAGAAGTCAGTCAGCCTAGCCGTTGTTAACTTGAAAAAGTAGCATAGTTCAAACCCTGTGGTTTCCGTAAGAAAAGAAAATTATATTTAGCTATCGGACATCTAAGTAATTCTTAATTCTGCGTCGAGATCTGGGAATATTTCGACTACAAGCATCAACAATGTTAGTTGTTCTTCGGCAACATTGTAGTGCAGATGCTCATCTGCTTCTAAGGCGTGAATTTATTGTCGCATCATCGTTAATATCGCCAGCCTCTCATTTTGTCATAATCGTTTATTCAAGTTGTTTTGGTCAAGTAGGGCAGATGATTTAATATTTTATGTTTCAGTCCGTAACCGTGCAAAGCCACTGTTTGGTATTTTTGCTGAGTGTCTCTGGTCTCTTGACCGTTTTGTTGATGTGGTGTGATTCGGCCTGCCGAAAACAGAACGTTTGTAAACGATTTTTTAGTTGCCGAAATAAGTACCCTTAGGTCGCCCCTTCTATTTTTTACATTCAGTGTGGCATGTATGCTGTTGTCGTAGGCCATGATCATGTTGGTCGTTAGTAGCTTGCCACATAGTACTGCAAAAGTGTCATATTTTCTTTTTGGAGCGTCGACATTCCCGCGGAACCCTGCATTTTGCTTATCAATATACTAAAAGATTGATAATATTTTCAACTACCGTTGTATTTTTCTTAAGTTTTCCCTCAAAGTCCGGCCTAAATTTAACAATGTCTACAGTTTCACTGCACGGATCCGTTATTTCAACTTCCGCGTCTTCGTATATTTCTACTGACGCGCCAACTATTTGGCATATGGCTTTTAATGTGCGCCTCAAAACGGCAAGCCCATGATTAGCTGCGGATTTATTGATATCCGCAACTGTTCAGGGGGTTACAAATCGAACAATGAGAATTAAATATGCTAATGCATCCAGGCATCATTGCAATTATAATTGCATTGTATATTGTGATATGTTTATGTGCTGCTGTTTTATTTCATCTTATTTTCATCGAAAGCGATTTGTTGGTTTGTTCGTCGTAGAGCCGGGGGCAAATAATTCGGTTGCTAACGGAATCAAGACAAATTGAGAAAAACTTCTATATACTATATATAAGTATATATACACGATTCGGTACACTGAACGGTAGATAGTGGCAGAGCTTCGGGGATCGGCCCCTCGATCTCTTCCTACTCCTAGTTAATCGAATCGGGTGCCCTATTAATGCTCTTGACCATCAACTGAGCTATTGACCCAAAATATGAAGCTATGCATATGGTCAGCGACGGTGACTACTTTTTAATGTATGTGTGTGCCGAAATTCCTAACCGATCATGTTGCAG